CCCCCAACACCACCACACACACACACACACACACAGAGCAAGGCCTTATGTGGCCCAGAACGTCAAGGGCACAGAGGTTGAAACATCCTACCCTATTTCCTAATCACACTTTGAGAATGGTAACTTTGAGTTATAGGTGAAGAAGCTGAAGATCTGCAAGATGAAGGGGCTTGCCCAAATAAAAGGTCTTGTCACTGAGGACAAGTGTTCTTGTATATTTGGCATTTTCTTCTTCCCTTCTCCTCCCAGTACTTAGCCCAGAGCCTGATACACAGATTCAGTGACATGTTGAATGACAGAGTATTGAGGTGGCAAGGGGCAGAACCTGACCTCAGACCCAGCTCTTCTGACTACCAGTCCACTGGTCTATCATTGTTGTGTTTTTAACTTTTTTATTAAGTCAGCATTTCATAGCACTCTCTGTGGTACAAATATAGTCAGCCCCGTGTTAATCCTCAGAGGACAGTGCTGGACCACTGTGAATTGGATTATGCTACTGCAAACATCTGTTTAGGAAAGGAATGGTGTTACGTACCCTCCTGTTGAAGGCATGCTTGATCTTAAGTGTTCACCTGGCATAGCTAATCAGTAGGCAGACATTAAGTTTACTCAAATTGAAAGCCTTGAACAAATGGAATTTTTAGTCCAAACAACATTGTATTAGGTGATACTTTCTGTTGTTTTTCGCTTAGTAGTAGTAGTATAAATCTTGAGAAAAGTCATGGGAGCTTGCATTCTTTGTAGCACTCTTTGTACCCAAGAAGATATGCTAGTCTTGATTTCTAACTGATACAAAAGGAAAAGGAACAGAGTGGGTTTCAAGACACCCATCCCTGGTGTGTCAGTGGCTTGGTCCATCAACTAGCCCTCCTCTCCAACTGAGTGAAGAAAGCTAAATACTCAGTTTCCCACCCTCCTTCACAGATAGGGAACATAGTTCTAGCCCCAAGATGAAAATCAAAGCCTTTCTTGGGCTCATGTGGGTAAGAAGTTTGTTTTTAAACAGAAAAGTAATCTTAATGTACAATTTTATAACCTATTTTTCCACCTTACATAATATAGTAGTTCTTTAAAACATGTACATCACCATTTTAAAAAACTTTTTTTTATTGTGTTAAACTGTACATAAAATTGAGCATTTTAACTCTTTCAAGTATATACTATAGTTGTGTTAAGTACGTCCACATTGTACAACCATCACCACCGTCCATCTCCAGAACTTTCTCGTCATTCTAAACTGAAATTCTTTACCCATTAAGCCAGGGGTGGGAAAACTTTCTTCTGCTAAGGGCAATTTGGATATTTATAACATCATTTGTGGGCCATACAAAATTATCAACTTAAAAATTAGCTACGAAAAAAGCTCCTAGATTTACTGAATTTCGAGTCCCACCTGCAGTTGCCTTGGTGGGGCCAAACCAGATGATTTTGTAGGCCAGTATGGCCTGTGGGCCGGACATTCCCCACCACTGCATTAAATGATAATTACTCATTACTCCTTCCCCCTTTCCCTGGCAGCCACTATTCTACTAATACATATATGTGTGTTATATATATATATTTGGTAACCACTAGTAAGTAAATAAGTAAATACATATATTTAACATATAAATACATAGTGATGCACCACATAATGACATTTGATCAACAATGGACCACACATATGATGATGGTCCAGTAAGATTCTAATGGAGCTGAAAAATTCCTATTGCCTAGTGATGTCATAGCCATCCTAACGTCTGAGTGTAACACATTACTCACTTGTTTGTAGTGATGCTGGTGTAAACAAACCTATTGTGCTGCCAGTCATATAAAGGTAAAGCACGATTAGTTATAGCAGTAGGCTATGCCATATAGGTTTGTGTAAGTACACTGTGATGCTTGCACAATGACAGCATCACCTAAGGACACGTTTCTCAGAATGTATTACTGTCATTCGGCATTCTGTGATTGTAAATATAATAATATACATCACATTTTGTTTATCCATTCATCTGTCAGTGAAGTAGTTGGGTAGGCGGGTTGTTTCCACCTTGGACTATTGTGAATAGTGCTGCTGTGGACATTGATGTACAGCTATCTGCTTGAGTCCCTGCTTTCAGTTCTTTGGGTACATACCTCACCTAAAAGTGGAATTGTTGGATCATTTGGTAATTCTGTGTTTAATTTTTTTGAAGACCTGCCATACTGTTTTTCACAGCCACTACACCGTTTTATAGTCTCACAAACAGTGCCCGAGGGTTCCTTTTCCCCATAACCTTGCCAACATTTATTTTCTGCTATTTTGATTATAGCTATCCTAATAGATGTGAAGTGGTATCTCATTGTGAGTTTGATTTGCATTTCCCTAACAAGTAGTGATGTTGAACATCTTTTCATGTTCTGCTTGCCCATTTGTATATCTTTGGAGAAATGCCTATTTATGTCCTTTGCCCATTTTTTAACTGAGTTGTTTGTTGTTGTTTTTATTTGTTTGTTTTTGAGTTGTAGGAGTTCTTTATATAGTCTGTATATTAATCTCTTGTGAGATACATGATTTGCAAGTATTTCTCTCATTCTGTGGACTGCCTTTTCTTTTGATAGTGTCCTTTGACACACAGATGTTTTTAATTTTGGTGTAGTCAGTTTGTCTATTCTTTCGTTGCCTGTGGCTTTGATGTCATAGCTCAGAAATCATTGCTGAATCCAATGTCATGAAGCTTCTTCCTATTTTTCTTCTAAGAGTTTTATAGACTTAGTTCTTACATTTAGGTTTTTGATCCATTTTGAGTTAATATTTATATATGATTTAAGGTAAGGGTCTAGTTTCATTCTTTTATAGGTGAATATCCAGCTGTCTCAGCATCATTTGTTTCAAAGCCTGTTGAATAGTCTTGGCACCCTTATCAAAAATCATTTGATCATAAACATGAGGCTTTATTTTTGGTTTCTCTGTTCTATTCCATTAGTATATGTTTGTTTTTATTCCATTACCACACTATTTTCATTACCATAGCTTTGTAGTAAGTTTTGAAATTAGGAAGTATGAGTTTTCTGACTTAGTTATGGTTTCTCAAGATTGTTTTGGCCATTCGGGGTCCACATCACCATTTTAATGACTGCGTAGTATAAGTGATCATTGTCTAATTTATTAGTTGGACATTTAGATTGCGTCTGATATTTTATTTTTACTGTGGTAAACTATGGTGCAGTGACCATCCTGATATGATATTTGCAAACTTCAGTTTGTTGTAGTATTTCTAGTTTAAAGTTCATATTTTTATTGGCATGTGAAAACTTTTTAAGGATATTAATGCTTTGTATGTTGTATATGTTGCAAATGATTTTTCTCAGTTTGTCATTTGCCTTGGACGTAGTTTATTTAACCGTACAACCCCAAACAAGGAGAAACCTTTACTTGCCTCATGGGGCTTCAGAGTGACCACCAGCAGGATGAAAGCCGGGCTTCCGTGTCGTGAGATCAGTACTGCACAGAGGGAAGACAAGATGATGCTAATGCAGCCCTCTTTTGAAAAAGAGCTGTGCTAAGTATTTCTCTTTGAAAGGAAACTTGGTGTAGAAAGCATCACCTTTCCTCTCCTTCCTACTTCTGATACCAGTTAACCTTTAATTGAGCATCTCTTTTGATGCTCACATCTTAGCCAGTCCCCTTCTGTGCCACCAACCAGTCCATCCTCCTGCCTCCCCTGGACACATGGACAACTGCAGCAGCCCCCTGACTGGCTTCCTTGCATCTGCTGTGGCTGGTTCTCCACCTGATGTCAACACTTCAGTTGGCATAATCCCTTAATATTATAGGTCCAGCCTTGTGCACCTCTGCAGTCCTTCAGGATTTCCCCAGGGCTCCCAGGATGAGGACCAAGCTCTCTGGGTTGGCTACCTCTGCAGCCTCATCTTGTATCACTTTTCCCTCCTTCAGCTATAGCAAACTTAATTTCTTTCTTCCAAATCTCCATTCTTCTGCTCATGTTGGGGCCTCTGCCCCTGTCTTCCCCTTCCCCTATGCCTCCTTCAGCCCCCTGCACAAAGTATACTCCTCAGGGAAGCTTATCCTGTCTACAGGTCCCCTTGTTCCAGGCCCATGAGCATCCTGAACTTTTGTTCACACTCTTCGATTAATGTCTTATCTCTCCACAAATGTGTGAGCCACCCAAAGACAGGTTCTGCCTCTTTTACTATCTGTTGTATCTCCAGCATGGAGCACATTTTCTGGCTGGCAGTAGGT